CGAATAGAATAGCTGTCATTAGTTTCGAGCGCAACTTTCATGCAACTGAATTGTGAGTTGCGGTCGGTACTCACGACAACTATCATTATTCATTACATTTCGTGGTAGTTCACTATAGTTCAGTGCAACTGAACACATTTTCAGTACAGGGTCATATTGCCACAGGAATGTTATAGCTTTAAAGTAGTTCCACTGCGTGACTTGGAGTTTAGTTTGGTTCTGTACAACACAATCTCGTCGAGTTCAGTACGAAAAATGACCATCATTTTGCTTTGAAAAACCTTTGTTATTGTGTTGAAGTCCTAGACAAGTAGTGTACATTTAAATCTTTAAGTAAAGTTCTATAAGTTTTTTGTTCTTAGACCCAAATCGCTTTCCATTATTAACTGAACCATGTGTATAGCCAATGCTTTCTAGGCCTGCTCTAGAAATCTGTTTTGGTACATTTTTGTACAGTTTATGACAATGTTAATCATGTACAATAATTGACAATTCTACTGTTACGTATCGTAAAACACTATAGAAACGACAACCAGTGTGATAACTAAAATCATTATCTCCGAGTTTGGCATCAAATCTTGCCTGGAATTACCATGTTGTATCTGTTACAGATTCCAGTCTACCAGGCTTGTCTCTTGTGTATTTCCATATATTTTTTCTCTCAATATTGGCAGTTCCAATGCTATTAGATGAGTTTTCCCAGAATGAATGTACCTTATCCCAAACACTTATTTCCGAAATTTAATGACCCGGAGTTATGTGGATAGAAGCAATTGAGCTTTATAAAACAAACATTTAGGAGAATATAGAGAATTTAGTGGTTAAGAAGTATTTTCTAGTAGGGAATCATTCAATATGCGTTGATTATGCAAGATGAAAGACAATTATGCAATCGTTACATGACCTATATGCTATGATATGTTTGTAAATGAAAATTATATTTACAATTGATAAGCTAATATAATATTTACATTAAATTAGAGAACGTGGTAAACAGACTAAAGATAAGATATATAGAATAGCAAACAACAGTACACTGATAATGTCAATATGACTACCTATATATTCATCATATGTAGCCTATAAATCTATCTACCATAGTGGCGGCGCCAGTGAAGGTACAGAGATTCATGGAGAGCATCTGTCCCCGCATCGTATGATGAATACGGGTTTTGACATGGACATGGAGGAAGTATGACGAATGGGGGTGTGGTTTGGAAATACAGTTTGTACCCCCTAATTGTACCACCACTTTATTTATGATCAATTTCAAAATATTGTCATAATGCACCGAGTCAATTTATTTTTCAAAACTTTTTTCATTCGCAGAACCTCCTCAGACAGTTCTTGCCCACAATTTATACCCCTATTTCCAAGAGGCTGGTCTCGCCTATTTTCTACCCTATATATCTGGATTGGATTAACTATCTAATCTAAATACGATTGTTTCTACTGAACTATGTAGGTCACCTTGATTTAAGGTCATTACAATGTACTTGACCACTCGTAATAGTTACCTCATATTAGACAATATTATATTCGTTAAATATATTCGCTTTAATATGGAGGACATTACATCAACCACATTGGTACGACAGATTTCAGATGTACAACTATATATGGGATTAGTTCAAGTGACCGAACTTTCATCCCAAGAATGTACGATTCCAATATATTATATTATGAAATACTTACCCACTTATGATTCATTAGCTAATGTTTCTCCAATATATTCTTTGGATTTCGGATTTCATTTTGCGCTTCGGATCGTTAGTACTTTATTTTATAGCTTACTTTTACATACAAAAACATGAATGTTATCTTAATCGATGAATTTTAAAGACAAATGATTTCATTCTACAACATTAAAAGACTGATTTCGATCAATATAGATGCAATTATAAAAGGCATTCACTATATGTATAATGTATATAATATATATTAAATTACTTTAATTGGAAATACATTGATGGAATACAGCTTTCCTGTTAATGATTCATTGTTTATAATGCAGATCTGCAATTCAAATGTAATGATTTAGATCTAATGTAAATGTAATGATATTGGTAATTATGATACACAATGGTATAATTATGTATATCAAATAGATATGTAATGATATGTAAATTAAGTGGAGGAAGTATGACGAATGGGGGTGTGGTTTGGAAATACAGTTTGTACCCCCTAATTGTACCACCACTTTATTTATGATCAATTTCAAAATATTGTCATAATGCACCGAGTCAATTTATTTTTCAAAACTTTTTTCATTCGCAGAACCTCCTCAGACAGTTCTTGCCCACAATTTATACCCCTATTTCCAAGAGGCTGGTCTCGCCTATTTTCTACCCTATATATCTGGATTGGATTAACTATCTAATCTAAATACGATTGTTTCTACTGAACTATGTAGGTCACCTTGATTTAAGGTCATTACAATGTACTTGACCACTCGTAATAGTTACCTCATATTAGACAATATTATATTCGTTAAATATATTCGCTTGAATATGGAGGACATTACATCAACCACATTGGTACGACAGATTTCAGATGTACAACTATATATGGGATTAGTTCAAGTGACCGAACTTTCATCCCAAGAATGTACGATTCCAATATATTATATTATGAAATACTTAACCCACTTATGATTCATTAGCTAATGTTTCTCCAATATATTCTTTGGATTTCGGGTTACATTTTGCGCTTCGGATCGTTAGTACTTTATTTTATAGCTTACTTTTACATACAAAAACATGAATGTTATCTTAATCGATGAATTTTAAAGACAAATGATTTCATTCTACAACATTAAAAGACTGATTTCGATCAATATAGATGCAATTATAAAAGGCATTCACTATATGTATAATGTATATAATATATATTAAATTACTTTAATTGGAAATACATTGATGGAATACAGCTTTCCTGTTAATGATTCATTGTTTATAATGCAGATCTGCAATTCAAATGTAATGATTTAGATCTAATGTAAATGTTATGATATTGGTAATTATGATACACAATGGTATAATTATGTATATCAAATAGATATGTAATGATATGTAAATTAAGTGTAATGTTATCATGACATCAAGTTGTATATATTGTAAATTATTCATTTGATTACTATATACCTGGTGATGAGTCATCTTTTTACTTAAGACAGTAGATAGAAAAATAAATCGACAGATGGAAATTGAGAGACGCTGTCCTGACGATATTTTGCTCATTGCACACAACATGGTGTTGTCCACATTAATAAGTGGAGCAAAGATCATTTGTTGTATGTATAGAAAGTTCCCTGGAGCTCAAGACTGTTTATGAAAGGGAGGGTGTGGCATCAGGCAGGTTATACAACTGTATACTTTCTCATGTGAAAACTTCATTTGCCGAAATGTTTTTTTGAAGTTCGGATTTCGTTTTGCGGTTCGGATCTTTAGTATTTGGGTTTATTCATCATCACATTACATCTTGATGTCTAGAAGCGAAAATTCAAGACATGGTGAACGATGAGGAATGGTGCCTACACAGTATATTCCCTACAGACAATTCTAGACTCCTGAAGACTGATAGACTAGTTATTACGTGTTATAATCAATTCATTGCAGAAAATTTGGAGGTGTGTACAACACGTGCTGTCTGCTATCTGAAATGCCATACCAAATGTGTATTTAGGAATAAAACCTCAACTCATAACATTTCGAAATTTTTTTAAGTAATCCAATATGCATTATAACTTTACGTATATTATGTTTAGTTTTTATACAGTCACGTGATATGAAAGGATGTTCAATTTGGCTTATGGTATTACAGTTTCAAAATATCACATTTTTATCGTTTCTGACATATTGTTATAAATGACATTTCACCCAATATATTTATTGTAGATCAAGTTGATTTTGTTGATATTTACCAAGGAGAAATCAATGACAGAATTAATTGATTAATTAGAATATTCCATTAACGCTCTTTCATACAGTCTACACAGTTATTCATATTACTTGTATTCGCATTTCAACACTTACTCAATAGCTCAAAATTATTGAATTAAATTGTAACACAGATTGGCTGTTATCATTTGTATTATGTTTTTTTTATACAGAATGTGCTTTCAAGTTAACTTAAAAGGACAAATTCGCCCTTTTTTTTATCAATTGTACCTTAGTCTCAGAAGCGGGAATGTTTTAGCTAAGCCAATCAATAATTATAATAATGTAGTGTTCACAACTCATCGTCGAAATTTGAGCCTTCAAAACCATATTTGTTTATAATTATCCGCGTTTGGAAGTTAAAAAGACGAGTCGTCTTTTTTAGAGTCACTGTCATAAATAGAGAAGACATTTATACAACCGAGCAACTGAAGCAAACATCAATGTCATAGAAAAGGACTTCTTTGTAAACAACAAATGAGAATAGCAAATAGACTTTCAATGTCATTACAACTACATTGTGTGTTTTTCTGCAAGTAAATGGGCGAAATAATCCGAAAAGGAAACGTTGGCGCTGTTCTTATCTGACCATTTGACTTTTTTCTATAACATGCTGTTAGTCCAGGTATCGTGTTGTATCTTTTTGATATTATGATGTAGTAATATGAAATTGTGTATCTCTTTGAAATCAAGTTGTTTCTTTCTGACATCAAGCTGTATCTTTCTGACATCAAGCTGTATCTTTCTGACATCAAGCTGGTATCTCTCTGACATCAAGCTCGTATCTTTCTGACATCAAGCTGTATCTTTCTGACATCAAGCTGTATCTTTCTGACATCAAGCTGTATCTTTCTGAAATCAAGCTCCATCTTTCTGAAATCAAGCTCCATCTTTCTGAAATCAAGCTGTATCTTTCTGAAATTAAGCTCCATCTTTCTGAAATCAATCTGTATCCCTTCAATTAAAGCCAGGATGTATTCATCAAGTCAGTAACTCTCATAATTAAAGGGTAGAATACCTTCAAAAGTAAATACATGTTATTTATTTTATTAAGTGATAAAAATGCCAGAAGGTAAAAAAATCTGGCAACTGCCTGAAGATATTTCGTAAATTTATATCAACATAATTCCATTTTATAAAATCAATTCTGGCAGTTTGTATTAAAATGTTTCTAATTATTGTATAATGGGTTATGTTATTAAAGGAATGATAATAAGTTTATTATGTTATATGTGTGATTTCCAGTACCGTACAATTCCTTGTCAACATCTATAGGCTTTTCAAACGTGAAATTGAATTAAATTCACGTTACATGATTATAGAAACCATGTATATTAAATTGAGCAGAGAGCTCTTAAGTTAACTAGATCACCAATATTTTAACCTGAATTTCTAAATCAAGATTTACTTTGATAAATTGATTCAGTTTAGTTTGGAAAAGATGAAATAATGACTGATCTAACATGTCATGTAAACGTGTCATTCTATGATCAGGCTTAAAATAAGTCGTGTAATCGATCGTCCTGACTTGTTATAATCATGCTTTAAAACATCTGACATGTTATCATACTACGATTATTCTTAAAAATGTCTTGTAAACGACCGTCCTGATATGTTGTAATCATTCGTAAAACCTGTCATGTAGACATGTGTTGTAAACGATCACTCTGACATACTATAAATATGCTTAATATCATGTCATGTAAACAATCATTTTGACATGTTATAATCATGCTTATAACAAATTGTCCATCATCGACCATTCTATCATGTCATATTCATGCTGAAAATGTCGTGTAAACGATCATTCTGACTTGCTATGATCAGGTTTTAAAAGATAATGTGTAAACGATCACCCGACATAATCATGCTTTAACATATAATATAAACGATCATTATTTTGCTTAAAACAACCCTGTAAACAACCATTCTTGAAATTATTATGTAAACGACTATACGATCATTCTGACATGCTATAATCATGATTAAAACGTTTCATGGAAATGATCATTCTGACATTTTGTGTATGAATTATTTAAGTAAGTACAAAAAATAGAAATACCAGACCGTTTTCAGACTGCTCAATACTAGATACAGTGTAATATCATTGAATTCTGTCAAGTGTATAATATGTTATTAGTTATATTCATGGTGTTAATAAGACTGGATATTTTATTATTGGTCTACAGAAATATTCTGGTTTGATCGATGCTCTCGTATCTTATCTGAACCCACTCATATTCTATCTTCTGATCAATATGAAGGCGACCATATTGCTATTTGTACTCAGGATTCGATGCATTTTGACGCCAATTTGGTGTACTTTTAGTCAGTTGATCTGAGAATGTAAATCAAAATCGGACGAAAGTTTGCCAGTTAGCATTACATGCTTAATATGTACACATATTTTCATTCTGATAAGTGATTTACCGGTTGATAGTAGTCATTGTCACTTTTTAATATAAAAATCTAGCGTAAGATCAGTATACAATAAGGTATACACTGGTGGAAATGGTCTATGTTTGAATTTGCAGGCTTACAAGCCTGGCTAAAGGCAAATATTAATATTAATGCTAGTCCCTATATTCCTGATTTTCAAAACCAAATATTCAAAATTCTTTTTTTTTTGTATCTTTCAGATCAAGAAGATCATCTTCCCCGGTATCAGGGTCAGTTAGATGAAGAGCTAACTCAGAACAAGATGGATGGTTATACTTTCACCGCCGATTACCTCGGTAACTCCACCATTTCTAAACCACCAACAGCATTAAGTATCATACAACCGCCAGTTAAAGATCTGTATATAAAATGCCAGAAAAAAGAATCCAAAGTTCAGCAGGTGAAGTTAAGAATTATCCCAGGTGGACTCATTTTTACCTTCTCAGAAGGTGCAGGCCGTGGTGAAGTGTTCTTTGATATCAATTCAATGATATACTTTGAAGGACTTCGATTTCAAATGGTGCGTACAAATGAAAAGAAGCCTCATGCCATGTTCGTGCCGTTGGATGAAAGTAAAATGACACAAAAGGATCAGAAAAGTGCCTTTGTTTTGGACAAAAATTTGCAATTTCTTGCGCAGTTACAGCATCCGCCAATGCTAACTTGTGTATTAAGACGACCTAAAGGAATTAAAGCGTTAGACTGTCATCTATTTGTGTTTGAAAGTGTGAGTGACGTCACTGAAATGATGTCTCTGTTATCAGGATTACAAGCCGGTGGCGGGAAATTACCGGAAATTAGTGATTTTAGACAAACTGAAACTAATTTTAATCGTGGTCAAAAAGGTGATGTGATTAGAACTGAATATGGTGATTATGCAATTTACAGAGGCAATCAAATGGAATTGAAAGACGATTTTTTCCGTCCACGTGAAGAAAATGGTGCCTTTGATGATCGTCGAGATGGTCGACCAGATGAGCGACATGACGACAGACGTGATGGCGGACGAGAAGAATCCGAGAGAAAAGTTCACGACTGGGATTACGATTCGTCACCAATAGATAACGCTTGGAGAAGCGTCCATAAGCAATTTACTGAAGATGATAGGAACAAAAATTTGGATCCAAACACGGATTATCGACGTTCTGCTGAATTTGACAAGCCGTTTGTAGCTCATTCAAGAGACAGATCTGGAGATAGCAATGACGGTCGATATAGTGGAAGAAATCTTGGCGATTCTGGTAGATATGATGAAAGGCAACTACGTCCAGGTGCGAGTCCACACAGCAAGGTGCCCCCACCAGTTGCCCACAAACCAGCTAGTCCTAGACCAATGTCTCCCACAGGGCAAAGGTTTGGATACGGAGGACCACCACAAAGAGATGACAGAAGAGACAATCCATACAATCCAATTTACGGTGGTGTTCCACCCGACCGTGGAAGCCAACCTGGTTATGAGCGTGGTCGTCCTCTACAGGATCGTGGACCACCTCCTCATGATCGAGGATCTCGATTTCATGACCGTGGACCACCCCTGCAGGAGCGTGGTGGGCCGGTTTATTCAGCTTCTAATTTAGAAGGCAGGGGACCAGATCGTAATAGCAAAGTTGATGAAGAACCTCCTTCCAAGCCAGTCGCGAAGGTTCCACCTCATCTTGTCGCCGGTATCAAAGTCCTTCCTACCAACTTCAACCCACAGGGAGTCAAATTGAAACCAAGATCCCCCAATGTGGAGCAACATCCAGACAAACACTTTGAGAAGCCGCATTCAGAAGCTTCCGATGATGTAGAATATGATAACGTTCTACAGAAATTCGACAAAATGATATCAGATGAATCCAGCGATTACAAATATCCTCAAGGTCGACCATCACAGAACGACAGAGAGATTTACGATCAAAATATCCGTAAAAACTGGGCGAATGAGGATCTGAGATACAACCAAGAGTCTCCACGACTTGAAAAACGGAACTATGGACCAGATCACGGCCGTTACGATCCACCAGAAGATGATCGAAGATATATAGAACAATACGAGTATCAAAGACGCCAAACTAATACTAGAGAAGAGTACTACGGTGACCCGAGACAGGATCCCAAAAATAACCCAAATCGTTACAGCATGCCTATATACGATAGAGGTGAGCGATCATACGAATCTCCCAATCGCTGGTCAGGAAGCAACAAATCTCAGTCTTCGTATGAAATGGGTGGTCGTTCACAAGGTCTACCTCCTGGTGTAGCGCCAGACAATCCAGATCATAATAATCGTAAAGACGCTGAGATCGCTAACATGTTTGGCGGCCATCCTCGTGAACATTATGACCATTTCCCTTATAAGCCAATGCCACAGGCTGGAACAAATTTTGAACAATCATTAGGATATTATCCTTGAAATAATTTATGAATGGTGCTGTTCTTTTATAGGATCTATAATTATTGTGTATACTAACCATTGTGCTGCGAACAAAAATGCGAAGGTTATGAACTTGCCCTTTGCTGTAATGCCTTTATATGTGCGGACTTTCATTATAGCCACGTTATAGAGACAAGATTTTTTTGTGCTTCGCGGTGTGACCTTTATTCAATCCTCTTTGTATTTTGAATAACTTTTTGAAGGAAAAAAGATCTGCATTGATGGTAGCAAAACCTCAACTAAATGCTTGTGTTAAAAATTTTTGCTTTGAATCAGGATTTTTAATAAGATATCCGTACTGTGACATTGAAACGGACAATAACAGTTTATTGAATGTAGAAATCGATTCTATACCGCGTACGGTTTTGTATATTATAATTTTAGGTTATTTAGTTAGTATCAACGCTAATCAAGAATAGAATAGCCTCCTCAAATTCGTTTTGTTCGATATCTCCTTGTGATATCCGACGTTCAGTAAATGAAGAATGAAGAAATATTGCGTGATTTAATTATAAGTATTTGAATCATTAATGAGGTGATTTTCTACCTCGACATAACATCAATTTACAGCATAATAATATAACGGGTGACATAGGTTTACAAACTACCAAACAATGCCATTGATAGCACTATCAAAATTATGACATGAAAATTGGAATTTGTTATATTCTGCAGATTTTTAGTGAACAATTTACATGTCGAACTATATTGCGCCATGTCGGTTATCTTACGTATCTTACGTCATTTAAATGTAATTGACAGAGCTGCTGTTTGGTAAAATACGCATCATGTAATATATTGTCTACTGTTTGCTAGTTTGTAAATGTATCTCACCTTTCTACAATGTACTGATTTGTCAGTAACACAAGTTCATTTATAAGAAAATATCAATTTATATCTCTATTATACAATGATAACTTCCCCTTTTCTGAGAGTCCAAATTGTTGATAATGTTTATTTGGTATGTATGTTTACTACAAATTTTTGTCTTTGTTTAAATTGGCTGCATGAAATGGTAACAGATTTGTGGCTTTTTTGAACAAATTTCAACTTATGACTTAGCATGGCATAATATAGTAAATAAAAGGACGATTAGAGATATTTGAGAGTTGTTTAATTATATGAAGGGAGGTAACTCTTTTTTCACAATTTTATATTTGATCAAATTTGATGTCTCAGAAATCCCTTGTATTATTCCGATCATTCTTGTATGAATTATGTATGAATTTACGGATACCAATTCTAAAATTATTTACTCATACTTTCACATGCGCATACACGCAGCAATACCATTCTCTTAATAGATTTATGTATGAGCAATTGAGTATGCGAAACGTTTAGTTGATGAATTTAGAAAGTTTATATCCATAGTACTTTTTACTTAAAGAGATTTTGAAGAGGTTTTATGAATTTCCTATTTGTTTTGGGGACACTGATAGCATCAGTTTGCACCATTTCAATTTTCAGTCAGACGTCAGTGACAATTCATAAGGCCCCTGGCGATTAATGACGTCATCAAATACTTAGTTTTAGTGGAATTGCAGGAACCACAGAAGTCTAATTGGAATGGTGAAAATTTATGCTGTCAGTGTCACAGATACATATACAGAAATAAAAAAACTTTTTTTCTAATCCTTTTAAGCCTAATTGTACACGTATACATAAATTATAAAATACATCTACTTAATCTACTTATTTATATCAAATGTATCAACATTTATTGATATACATAAATTATTGTACAATGATGTGAATCCCATAGAACAGCTGAAATGAAATACTGTTTACAAAGTAAATGAAATACTGTTTACTAATTAAATTAAATCCTGTTTATTGAATAAATGAAATACTGTTTACAAAGTAAATGAAATTCTGTTTACCAATTAAATTAAATACTGTTTATTGAATAAATTAAATACTGTTTATTGAATAAATGAAATACTGTTTACTAATAAAATGAAATACTGTTTACTAATTATATGAAATACTGTTCATTGAATAAATGAAATACAGTTCATTGAATAAATGAAATACTGTTTACTAATAAAACAAAATACTGTTTACTAATTAAATTAAATACTGTTTATTGAATAAATTAAATACTGTTTATTGAATAAATGAAATACTGTTTACTAATAAAATGAAATACTGTTTACTAATTATATGAAATACTGTTCATTGAATAAATGAAATACAGTTCATTGAATAAATGAAATACTGTTTACTAATAAAACAAAATACTGTTTACTAATTAAATTAAATACTGTTTATTGAATAAATTAAATACTGTTTATTGAATAAATGAAATACTGTTTACTAATAAAATGAAATACTGTTTACTAATTATATGAAATACTGTTCATTGAATAAATGAAATACTGTTCATTGAATAAATGAAATGCTGTTCATTGAATAAACGAAATACTGTTTACCAATAAAATGAAATATTGTTTACTAATTATATGAAATGCTGTTCATTGAATAAACGAAATACTGTTTACCAATAAAATGAAATACTGTTTACTAATTATATGAAATACTGTTTACTAATTATATGAAATGCTGTTCATTGAATAAATGAAATACTGTTTACCAATAAAATGAAATACTGTTTACTAATTATATGAAATACAGTTATTGAATAAATGAAATACGGTTTACTAATTATATGAAATACAGTTATTGAATAAATGAAGTACGGTTTACTAATTATATGAAATACTGTATACTAATTAAGTGAAATACTATTTACTGAATAAATGTAATATATTCTTTACTGAATAAATGAAATATTGTTTCCTAATTATATGAAATATTGTATACTAATATTATAAATAAATGTGCTTTGATTAAATGAAATTTGATAATGACCGCCATTGTGAACTCACTATCTCTAACATATTGTTGTACTGGAAATTTTATTTTGTTATAATTTTTATATAATATTACTTCTCTACTTGAAAGCATTATAAATATGTTACAGATTTGATGGATATTCATTAAAATCATATCGGATTGATAAGTATTTGTTTTTATTTACACTATTAGTACTTTCTTTGTGTGCCCATTCGTCATTGTGACACTCTTATTCAGAGAAGCAAATAAACTGAAATCTTGTTATTGGAATCGTGGAATAAAAAGACGAGCGATGTACACATGCTCTAGCGGTTATGGTGTACATAATACTTCCGAGCTAAATGACAGCAAAGTAATAATGAAAAATCCATTTAAGGACTTGAATGCTCTTCAATATGGCCGGGTCTCAAGAAAAGGCCACTATTCAAAAGAGGGGTCTACACTCAACAAAAACATCGGGAGAAGGAGAAGAGATAGTTCAGACCCTGATATAGTAGGTGCATTATATTGCCATCAATGGTGAGAAATATTACCACCATACATCCCCAACTCTAGGGATGCATACGTTGCTTCATCTTCACTATGAAATAATTTCGACTTATACTTGAATGCAATAGCCACTATTCTTGTATCACGGAAGGTTGTAACTGGAACGATTTGATTGGATTTTGCGCCAGCCAAGTAAGTCAATCTGGGCCATCGACAGAAAATCTGTTGACATTAAGACATAATTCGAGGGCTCTGATTGACTGTATTCGCTGGTGCTCCTACTTCCATATCATGCAGTGCGGGTTTACGTATTCCTCTATAGTTCAAATAACTATTAATACTAGGTGACATCTTGAGATTTAATTGTAGTAAAGCATGCTTTAAGAGAGTTGTCCCCCTTGATACAATAGAAATTGAAGTGACATCTAAATATTTTCTGATATGCGGTGCAACATTAAGATCTGATGTAGATGTAAGAAGTAGATAAGGAATAATAACGGGGTGCAATAGAGTTTCTTTAATGGGGAGTGCGCAATGAGGGAAATTTTGTCTGGACAGCGTCTCAGCGTCCCAGCGTCGTTAACCCACCAACTCGATTGCCAACAGCACATAGAAATGTGACGTTATTTACTTTATATTACCTATACATTTACTGACAAATCACCGAAGAATATCAAAATTGTTATGTATACCTTGGTAATCCTACTCGGGGCATCGTCTGATAAAATGATTTGAAGCATTTTTTTAATCATTGCAGTAGACAAGTTGCATTGTGTGTTAGAAAAAAACATAGGTGTTATGCGCGCCACGAATAATTTCTAGTTAGCGAGGCATATCAAGTTATATGGTATATAGTCCTACAGCATGTATGATTAGTGATGATGTCTATTATTGGACCTTTTAGCTAAAGCTCATGTCAAAATAGACTACATGTGCAAATCCCAATTATCGAAGCATATCAATCCTTTATCTTCACAATGACAAGCCATTGCGATCTTCGTCTTATACCATAGCCACCTTCTTGTATCGCGGAAGTTTCCGGAAACGCGAATTGCTATGCTAAACTAAATCAGTAATACTGACCACAGCTTACCATCAAAATTTGAGCCTTCAAATCCATGTGTATCCATAATTACCTATGTTTAAACAGTCTTGATTTTAAGAGATTTTTTATTTTGAATATCTGTTGAGTACGTCATTCGTATACAATATATCGTATATCAATCAACCTGTCCTACTTCGCCCTCACACAGCTGAGACGGAAAATGTCTCGGTGTCAACAAGACGTTCAACTTTTGGATACATCACATTTCAGCGAGTAAATAAGCTAGTGTGCGAAATAAATAAAAAGTTAAAATTCTTGTTTGCGGCCTATTTGAAGAAATTATGCGAGTTTTGTTCAGTTTTAGTACGTCTAAATCAGCCACCAGAAATGCCGGAACTGTCTCTTTAAGTCTGGACCTTCAGGTAAGCGAGCATGCATCTATCTCGCTGAGCCAATCCCAATAGATTATAGAGACATAATGATTTAAGATATCATGTTTTAAAAACAGTAGGCAATTGAATGCATGGCAGATTATATGATACAGTTAATGTACTACGTGTATATTGTATGAACAATGTTAACTGTTTCA